TCTATCTATCTATCTATCTATCTATCTATCTATCTATCTATCTATCTAATTAGAGTGACTGGGTTGTTTACAGCAAATTAATAATAATACTTGCACTGTATGATTTTCCTGCATATCCTACCCTTCTGCTAATTTTCCATTTGAGTTGGTTTGTCTTTTCTTTGGGTTTGCTTCTCCCTCCTGTTCTCTCTGCCTGTGCGGCATGAAGTGAGCAAATCTTTAGTGCTCTTGAACTCTGCTTCCTTACCTCTCTACTTCCCACACGGCTGCCACCACATTTCTCACTGCTGTTGCTTTCAAGTGAAGATTTTCAAACTGGGAGATTTGTGTGGGGAGAAAACAAAGGCAGTGTTCAAGGCAGGCAAGCAAGCAAGCTGTGCGTTCGCTTTGCTGATGCGTGGAAACATCTGAAGGCTTGAGTTTTTCCTTTACCCGATTTTTGAAAATCCCTTCCCACGACTTACATCCACCTGTTTTACCAATCAAAATAATACCTTCACGCTCAATTCTCTTTGAGCACTTACAGGTACACCACACTTAATGTATATCCTATAGTTTTAATAGATGTTTCCAGATGGGGAGGTTTTAGCCCTGTCAATCAAAATGCATTAATGAAGGGTTCTTTTTTTGCAGGATAGAAAAAAAGATAAGCAGTGGGAACACACAAGGGAATTACATGGAAAAGATGATATCATGATAATAATCCTTCATACAAGGCAGGGCGGATAAACCAAACTTGTCTTGGAGATAACAGTTGTAGGATATAATTCTTCCAGCTTAAATGATGATTTGTAGGATAATTGCCTTCAGTGGTAGGTGGACTTACTCACATTTCCTTTACTCCGGTTCATGCAATAGTCATGTTCAGCACAGGTAAACCCAAAATGGGTTCAACATCAGGACAAGAATGGAATGAAGGACAAGAATAGAATGAAAAATCAATTGAAGTAGAATTTGATTCTGATTTTTCTTTGCTTTTCCTTTTTGGGTAGAATTTTTTTCTTTAAATGTTAAAGGAACTCATATATACATGACATGCTGCCATCTCTACTTCTTGTTCCTTATTTAATCAAGTACCATTAACCAGTCATATCAGGTACTGGACTTTTTTCAAATTATATCTCTAGTGTGAAAAAGATAGCAGCCAAGCTTTTGGGAGCATCCTTCTGACAAACACAGTAAGCCCTCAAAAAGGACTTTTTGTTGCATTAAATGAGTTTTTAAATTCCAAGAAGCATACATAGCAGTTCTTAAATCCTGCTGTCACTGATTTTGCAATATAGGCTATTCCAACTCTCTATTAAATAGTTTATTTACATTCTTTTTTTAATTGATAATTACTATTAATAATAGTAAATGTAGTTTGGTCTCTTTAAAAACCTTCTGCAATGTATCCAGAGCTTCCACAGTTTTAGAAGCTGCTCATTAATGCATTTTGCAAAATCTGAAGTTAACAAATGATTTAATGTGTGTATGTGTATATGTGTATGTGTGTGTGTATGTGTATGTGTGTGTGTATATATATAGTCTTGATTGTGTGGGTATCTTTTTAGTATCACACTATTAAAAGATGAATAGATGTGATAGTCTAAGACACTTGTACAGGGTAGTATTGACACAGTTTAGATCTCAATGATCCAACCGTACAGACACTCCAAGCCAGTGGCAATATTTGGCAGAGAGAGACAACACCGTGCACAGCTTTTTGGTACCCCTTCTATGTCAAAAGGTCTCTTTCTTGCAGTGAGTAATAAGTCCTGTGATCTCACTCCTCCCATATGTTTTTATTTATTGGTTTGTTTGTTTCTTAAATTTATTTGCCACCATCTCACTGTGGGGGCTACTCTGGATGACTTACAACAGTAAAATAGAACAGATGATAAAACAAAAAAAGGGTAACATAACAATAGCAAAGCAATGAAACAATTAAAACAGTAAAAGTACAATAATAAGTAAAAAAGAAGGGGAGCAGGAAGCACAAGGGGGTAGTGGGGTCAGTTAATTAGTCCAGTAGTCAACTCCCATGTGGTACTTCCCTTTGGGTTCCCAGGCTAACCAGCAGAGCCAGTCTTCAGGGCCTTATGAAAGATAAAGGGTGGGGGGGAAACTTTACCCCAGGGGGCAGGATGTTCTAGAGCAGGGGTCTCCAACCTCGGCTACGTTAAGACTTGTGGACTTCCAATTCCCAAAATCCCTCAGCCAGCTTTGCTTGAAGAATTCTTTGTTTGAAGAATTCTGAGAATTGAAGTCCACAAGTCTTAAAAGTGGCCGAGGTTGGAGACCCCTGTTCTAGAGGGCTACAGCAGAGACGGCTCTTGTGAATTCCTCAGCCGGAGTTCCTTGACCAATGGGATCTACAGTAGGCGTCCTTTGTTGGCATGAGTAGGGCAGGCTCATCTTTGCACAGGGATAAAAGGGCTATAGTTCCCCATCTCAGATTTAGCAGGACAAGACAGCTCATCAATTAACCTGGATCTGTGCCACAGAGGGTTTTTAATTTTTTAATTTTTTTTTATTTTTGCCAAGTTTTCACAAAGTAGCAAATGAGATCAGATTAGTCAACCTCTTCCTATAATTTCATACGAAGACTCGACTTACCGCAACGAATTACAACATAAATTCTGGTCCGAATTGTGGCCGTGAGGCAAGGACTACCTATAGGTCCTTTGATAAGCAGCCGTTTCATTTGAGTGAGCAGAAAACGGTGGTGGGATTTGGAAGGGTTGTTTTGTCATTCTTCTCAACTAGAGAAGCAGTTGCCTAGTTCCTGGAGTTAAGCTGATGACTCTCCCCTGTGTGTGATGCCCAGAAACTATAATGAAGAACTATTGTTCTTCAAGTGGTCATCTGTGCATTCACAGCTCCTCCCCTATGTTCCTTTCTTTAGATGCTTACTCATCAGTCTTGGGGAGCTGGGGGGAATGTTGGAACCCCATCTTGATGCATGTGCAGAGGGCCAGGCTTCCTTCCAAAAGTCTTTGCTGTAGAAGAAGAATCACAGTTAGAGGTAAGAAAACCTGTTCTTGTAGCACCAATGGAGAAAAGCAACAGTGGTGCCTTTATGAACTTAGGCAACCGCCACGAAAACTGTCCTGGAAATAATGTAGCGTTGCTTAGGAAGAGAGTTGGTCATTCTAAGGAATGTGCTGCCATTTTGTCACAAGAGAGCCACAGAGAGATGGGTGGAGAAGAGTGGGGCTTTACTTGGTTGTATAAGGCATTTTGTTCCTCTCGCTTTTTTCCATCTACTTGTTTGGAACCAAATTAACGGAGAGAGGTAAAAGCGGTTAATGCCATATACCCTCCGTCAAGTTTTTCTCAAGTTTCCTCCCATCTAGTATCCCTCATGTGCTGTTTAAGCTGCAATATACCCAGTTGCCCATCTTAGTTCCTTCACCATTTTGGATGCAGCCTGGCTATTGTGAGCCGATTATCCATCCTTGGCATTACTGTCCATATCACCTTGCCATTCACCACAGCCACAATGTTCAGTTTTATCTAGCAAACCCAGTTAACAAAAGATTCTGAACATCTCCCATGTTTAAGAAGGAGCTCTTCCTTGGCCATTTCATTGAGTGCCACGGCATGCCACAAAAGAGCAGCAGCAGAGAACCCTGGCATTGTTATCAGCAGCAATTGGTAGTCTACTACAGGGGTCCCCCACCCCCGGGCCACAGCCCACTAGTGGGCCACATAAGCTGCATGTGTACATGCACACAGCTCCAATTGCGTGAGTGGCGGTCAGGTGCCTACTGCTCACATGGAACCATCCTCCCCACACGCACAATCCACCGGGCCATCAAGGGGGAAAGGTTGGGAACTATTTTATTATGTTATACTATATATGATTTTATAGTATAATAAAATATGATTTTATTATATTATACCATATTAATTTATTTGATTCTTTTTATTAGTTTTATTGTTTTAAATGTGGTTTTATATTCTGTAAGCTGCCTTGAGTCGCCATGGGCGAATAGGCGGCAATATAAATTCAATAGATAAATAAATAAATTACTGGTCTACTAGTACAGGTAGTCCTTGACTCACAACTTTTTGTTTAATGTTAATTCAAAATTACAACAACTTCCTCTGAAACAGTCATGACCTAAATTCACACTTAATGGTCATCGTACTGTGTCCTCCCCCCCACCTACCCAATAGTCACATGATCGCAGTTCAGGTGCTTGGCAACAGGCTGACATTTACATCCGGTTGCAACATCCTGCAGTCACATGATTGTAATTTGCAACATTCTGGCAAAAAAAAAAAAAAAAAAAAACCCAGAAAAAAATGCGATTTGGAAAGCTGGATTCGCTTAACGACTGAGAATTTGCCCAAATTGCTACCTTCTGGCACTATACTTATAAGAAACCCTCTGTTTACAATAAGGATTCTTCTGCTTAAATTGCTTATTGAACTACATATAAGAGCCTAGTTCCCTATCGATTAGCATTTAGACTTACAGCATTTTTATATGTTTAAATGAAGTGGGGTTTTTTTTAAAAAAAAGAAGGAAATTTATGATAGCTTATTATGGGGAATGTTTTGATGCTGTATGTGAGCCAAACTAACCACCAATTGTTGGCTATCATCTGCTTCTGTAGAGGAAATGCTAGCAGCATTACTATTGTACTGCAATAGTAAATCATCTTTGTTTCTCATATGGTAAATCCTAGAGCTTCCAGTAAAAGTATAGATATATAATTCCTCTATTTTTCTTAACAGATGGATTGGGCCGACATCCTGAGTATCTGTCGGTACATTTTATGTATCTCCAAATTACAATCTGTGGGAAACATGTAGTAATTGCTTATTCGACCTTCATTACTTTATAAATAATTCAAAGTGGAGAAAATACTTACCAGTCCTTGTCTTGTTTTTCTTTCTTTGAGGTGGATTGGGCTGAGAGAGAGAGAGTGACAAACTCAAGGTCATTTAGTTGGCTCTCATGCCTAAGGTGGGATTAAAACTCAGTCTCCTGGTTCCTAGGCCAGCACCTTAACTTGTAATAATACTTCCTTTTTATGACTCTGTAATCTCTTAATTTGAGATAGTTGGGGCAACTGGACAGAGCTGAGCATTTATTGGCTAGATGCCCTTCCTGACACCATGCAGAGAGTTTGCAGCAGATATTTTTTTTCTCTGCATCCTAGGAGAGAGAAACATCTTACGCTACCTAGGATTGCGCTCTTGACCTTCTGAGTGGAAGGCAAGCGTGTTCACCAGTAGGCCATCACTCTGTTCAACCTTAATGTGTAATAATATATATAACATAATTAATACAATATAGCATATAATAGGGACACAATGGCTCAGTGGCTAAGACGCTGAGCTTGTCGATCAGAAAGGTTGGCAGTTCAGTGGTTCAAATCCCTAGCACCGTGTAATGGCGTGAGCTCCCGTTACTTGTCCCAGCTTCTGCCAACCTAGCAGTTCAAAAGCATGTAAAAATGCAAGTAGAAAAATAGGGACCACTTTGGTAATAATATATATATATAACATTATTAATATAATATAGCATATAATAGTAATTTATATAACGCCTGAATTGTCAGAAGTCAGGCAGCACGTTATGGTTCATCACACAGTCAGCCAGATGTTTAGATTGGATTTGGCATTTTGATCCACCGATCAAGTTTTTCCCAAGGACCTGGGATAAGCAGATGTTATTGTTTGTTGTGTTAAAGTATTGTCTTTATGCAAATTGTCCCAAGTAAAGCTGTCTTTTGCAAATGTCTGATTGTGGTTTTGCCAATGCTCAAGGCATTCATTACTGTTATTATTATATACACAACAGTGTGAAATCACAGCTATTGACTTTCTAGCTGATGTTGGCTTTCGCATGCATTGAGTTATTCCCAACAACCTAGAATGCCATAAGATATCAGCATAGCATATGTGTGGTCTTTTGTAATTGAAAAGTGGAGAGTGCCATCCAAGATTTCATGATACAGCACCCAGTGTGCCAATAACCATTAGGACCACCATGGCCGATTTATATCATAATCTTTCCACTTTGATTTTCATACCTTAATATTATTATTATGTATCTTGGTACAATGACTAATAAAGATTGAAAAACAAATGGAAAAAAATTAAGATACATAAATGCAGGTAGAAAGATACCGGGTAGTATGTGTCCTTTTGCCAGGAATGAATATTTATTAAAAGTAGTGAACATGAATGCATATATAATAGAAGAAGAAGAAGAAGAAGAAGAGGTCAAAAATGAATGGATTAAATACAAAAGTGATAGACAATGTAGAAGAGGAACAGGTTGCTTGTATAGAGAGAATGGATGTGGATTCACAAATTATGAATGGGTTGAGAAGAATGGAAAGCCCAAATGTAATTGTGTAGAGTTTATAGGATCCTGAGAAAGAATAAGGTGTGATGATTTAAGAACAAAAGGTAATGTATGAAGCAGCAAATGATTTTGGTGGAAGCAAGGATAGGAAGGTATGAAAAAAATGCCACAAACGGTATTTATATAAATTAGTTCTAATTATTTGTCGTTTTATTTTCTCTTCTAACATTTTAAAATTTGGTTGGCTCGCTGATTCTTACTCCCTTTCTGCACTTTGCATATCACTGCTCCTCGGGTGTAGCGTTAAGGCCATCTATGAATGGGACTGAGCCAGCAGCTCACTATTGAGAATGTGTCTGTTTGTTCTAACACTCTTCAGCTGGTCCAGAAAACCTTCTAAAGACTCAAGACTTCTCCTTCCAACAGAGTGTAGAAAAAGAAATTTAAACGTCCTCATGGTTACCTTTTCTGTCTCCTCACTGACACGAAGTGCAGCCTTTATATTCAATACACATGGGCACTTCACTTCCTTCTTTAATTTCACTTCTTGCTACGATTTTGGGATGACAATACATGGTGGCTTAAGCAGTTCTCAGCGCTTTCCATTTGTATTGGAGGAGCTTGGCTCTCTTTATTTCTGGTGGTTGGAAAAACAGACCCACCATGGGGCAATTAGGCACGATAGATCAAAGCTGCACCATGGGTTTAAGAGCTTTGAGCCAGTGGTGCATTTCAAATATTTTTACCACCGGTTCGGTGGGTGTGGCTTGGTGGGCGCGCTTTGCGTGCACGCACATACTTTGTATGCATGCGCATGCCAAATGTACACGTTGCGCAGGCGCAGAGGCTTTCTGACTCACCTCCTGCAAGCCTGCACTCTGTTGCTTCAGCAGCTGCCGCATGGCAGCTTTGTGCTTGCTGCACAAAGCTGCTGCACTTCAAAAGTAAAACATAAAGGTTAGTATGGGAGCCCGGGCAGGCAGGCGAGCCCAACAGCAAAGTGCCGGAGAGAACAGGTTCAGTCTCTGCTACCGGCTCGGTAGAACAAGGCCAAAGCGGTAGAATACCACCATTGCTTTGAGCAATCCACCTGCCAAATGGCCCCTGTTCTGCTTGTTTTAGGAAAGAAAGGAAGGTGAAGGATTGCCACTCTGATATGTAACCTCTGCCAAAAGATGCAAATGAAGTTGCGGTCAGCAAAACTTATTTTCTCTGGATTATTACCCTGGCCGGTCTAGGCTTCTCCTTTCTCAGATTGTTCTATTGGTATAAATTAATCCTTCCTTCTCTATCCTCTAATTCATGGTATGTATTATTAAAAGGGCACTTTTTAAAAAAATCATTTAAGATACCTTATACTATTCTAGCAAAGTCTGTTAAACACACATTCTTTGGGGGGTTTAAAATATCCTGACACCAAACTGTAGGCATCAATGTGGAAGGGGATGCTTACTAATTATAGACTAGTTTCAGCAGAGAAAGAATTTCCTGGCTTTCTCTAGTAGTGTTGGGATCATGGGATTCCTAAGCAGAGGACACAATTGATGTCACTGCTGTTTTAAAGCCATAATTCAGCTGAACCCTTGGCTCTGTTCCATAGTCGGTTTGATTTCTCCCCTGGCTTGCCTTTTGGTTACCATATCCAAGACCCAAAAGACATGTTGAGAAGGTAGATGAGCATCATGATGAACAGTGAA